TTACCTGCGGATTTCAAGTATCTTTATCATTGCCAATCATGGCCTATTTACAGTGGAATATACGCGGCCTCAGGGGTAATCGGGGTGAGCTTCAGATGTTACTCTCCCAGTTTTCCCCTGTTGGTGTTTGCTTACAGGAACCAAAATTACACTCTGCTGTTATCTCTCCCATCTCAGGCTATAATTTATTGTATTCTTCAGATCCTTTTCCTGATGGGACCTTCAATGAAAGTGCCCTTCTTCTATGCACTGATATTCCATACCATCAGCTATTTGTTCGTACTTTGCTGCATTACACAGCAGCCTGTATCCACTTGCATAGGTGGTATACGCTCTGATCTTAATCTCTCTCCTTCTCGGGCATTATCTATTCTGGATATTGCCTTTCTTGTTTCGTCATTACCACCACCGATTCTGTTACTTGGTGATTTTAATGTCCATCATTTCCTCTGGGGGGGGGGGTCTCGCTGTGATTCCCGTGGCATTCAGTTAGAGGCTTTTCTTGCCACCCATCCCCTCCATGTTTTAAATGCAGGTACTCGCACCCATTTTGATCCTCGGATTCACACTCTCTCTTGCATCGATCTGTCTGCTCTTCCTCCGCCACATTAGACTTCACCTGGTCTTTTCTCCCGGATTTACATGACAGCTATCATTTCCCAATCATTCTTACTTCCCCTTCATATTCACCACCTCTTCGTATCCCACACTGGCAGTTTGATCAAGCAACTTGGAACCTTTACTCACAACTAACTGTTTTTAGTGAGGTTCCTTCTTCGTCCTCCATTGATGAGCTTTTACACCTCTTCTCTTCCTCCGTTTTAACCGCAGCTTCTCATTCTATACCCCAAACTTCGGGCAGGCATTCTCAGAAATGCGGGCCTTGGTGGTCTCCTGCTTGTGTTCGTGCAGTACGTTTGAAACGTGCTGCATGGGGCAGGTACCGGTACAATAGAACCACGGAGAGACTTCTTGATTTTACACAGAAGCGTGCGATCGCTCGCCATGTCATCCATGACGCTAAACGCACTTGCTGGCGAGATTGTCTCCACCATCACCTCTGCTTCCTCTGAGTGTAGTCTGGAAAAAAGTACGAAAACTTGAGTGGTAAATATTCTCCTGACCCGGCTCCTGTTCTGCGGGTTGCCGGTGTTGATGTAACAAACCCACTAGATGTTGCCAATGAAATTGGCAGTCATCTGGTTCGTATTTCTCAGGGGCTCCATCTATGCCCCCTCGTTTCTTTCCTCAAAGTCTACCAGAGAGTTAGCACCCTTGGACTTTTCTTCTCTCAGAGAAGAACAGTATAATGTGCCTTTTCCACTCCAAGAACTGGAGGCAACACACTCAGCTTGCCGATCATCGGCAGCTAGGCCCGACGACATTCATATTCGTATGCTGCAACATTTACATCAGTCAGCCCTTGCAGTCCTATTATGCCTTTTCAATCTTATTTGGTCACAAGGAGTTCTTCCACAGCTGTGGAAATCTGCCATTGTTCTCCCTTTCCACAAACCAGGCACTATGGGACATGAAGCCTCCCACTATCGTCCCATTGCTCTTACCAGTGCAGTTTGCAAAGTGATGGAACGCCTGGTAAATAGACATTTAGTGTGGTATTTAGAGACACAACAGTCTCTCCACTCGTCAATATGGCTTTCGTAAGGGACGTTCTACCATAGACCCCTTACTACGCTTGGATGCGTATGTTCGTAATGCCTTTGCGAATAACCACTCGGTTATTGCCATATTTTTTGACCGTGAGAAGGCATATGACACAACTTGGAGGTATAATATTTTAGCCCAAGCCCACTCCTTAGGCCTCCGAGGCAGTCTACCATCCTTCCTTAAGAACTTTTTAACTGATAGACATTTCTGTGTTCAGGTTAATAATGTGCTCTTCCCGGACTTTATCCAAGCTGAAGGTGTCCCCCAGGGATGTGTTCTGAGCACAACACTTTTTCTCCTTGCTATTAATGATTTAGCCTCTAGTCCTCCTTCAAATATTTGATCATCACTATGTTGATGGCTTCGCTATTGCCTGTGCAGGCACTGACTGTCACCTCATTACAGTTTCTCTCCAGCATGCGGTCGACCGTGTTTCCAATTGGGCCACCACACACGGGTTTAAATTTTCCAGCACTAAAACTCACCAAATTACTTTCACTAGACGCTCTGTCATCTCCGATCATCCTTTGTACCTCTATGGCTCCTGTATCCCTGAACATGATAGTCAAGTTTCTGGGCCTCCTCTTTGACCGTAGGTTATCCTGGAAACCTCACATTACCTCTCTGAAGGCAACTTGTCACAGCCGGCTGAACCTTCTTAAAACCCTTGGTCATCTTTCATGGGGAGCTGATCGTCAATCCCTCCTTCGCCTACATTCCAGCCTCATTTTATCGAAACTTGATTATGGTGACCAGATCTATTCAGCGGCATCTCCTGCTACTCTCTAGCCTTAACCCCATTCATCACCGAGGATTACGTTTATGCCTTGGTGCTTTTTGCTCTTCCCCTGTTGAGAGCCTCTATGCAGAAGCGAACGTTCCATCCTTATCCGATCGCTGTGATGCCCATTGCCTTCGCTACTATGTACGCTCTCATGATCTCCGCAATCCTTCCATTTATAGAATGGTCACTGATATTAGTAGACATTCTTTATTTGTTCTCCGCCCCTGTTTACTCCGTCCCTTCTCTCTTCACCTTCATTCGCTCTTGTCTTCTCTTCAATTACCACCTTTATATGTTCATGTAGCATCTCACTTTTCCCTACCCCCCCTGGGAAGTTCCAGCTGTTCGAGTCTGTTCTTTGTCTCTCCCTTGCTCGAAAGCCCAACTGTCTACGGTCGCTTCCCGCTCTCTTTTTCTTGACCACTTCCATTCTCATTCTCATGCCATTGCTGTGTACCCAGATGGCTCTAAGTCTTCTGACGGCATAGGATTCGCAGCAGTGTTTCCGGACAGCGTTGTATGAGGACATTTACTGTCTTCGGCTAGTATTTTTACTGCTGAATTATATGCCATCCTTGCAGCACTTATCCGTATTGCATCTATGCCTGTGTCATCATTTGTGGTTGTCTCAGACTCCCTTAGTGCTTTACAGGCTATACAGAAATTTGATACACCTCACCCCTTAGTCCTCCGTATCCAACTTTGGCTACGCCGCATCTTTACCAAGCATAAAGATAGTTTTTTGTTGGGTCCCTGGTCATGTTGACGTACAGGGCAATGAACAGGCAGACACTGCTGCGCGGTCAGCAGTACATGACCTACCAGTTTCATATAGAGGTATTCCATTTACGGACTATTTTGCTGCAATATCTTCCCACCTTCACACCCGTTGGCAACAACGTTGGTCTACTATGCTCGGTAACAAACTTCAATCTATTAAACCGAGTATAGGTTACTGGCCATCGTCTTATCACCAGTGCCGAGGTTGGGAGACTAATCTCTCCCGTCTTCGCATTGGCCATACTCGTCTTACTCATGGATATCTCATGGAGAGGCGCCCTGCTCCTCTCTGTGAAAATTGCCAGGCTCCATTATCAGTCAGCCACATTCTGTTGGACTGCCCACTTTATCAACGAGCACGCAGAATTTACCTCCGTCGTCGTCTTAGCTCCGCTGCTCTCTCTTTACCTTCCCTTCTCGCTGATGGACCCACCTTTCATCCGGACTCTCTCATTGACTTTTTGACAACAACTGACTGACTTCACAAATTCTGATACCTTCAGCACTTTCTACCTCAATCTCTTGCTACCCTCTACCCCCATACTATCCCCTGCCCCGCTGTTTTCTGTAACCTACTGATCATCCCTCCTCCCTTCTGCCGCCCAATACCCTCCCTTCCTTCCCTACCCTGCAGTGCTGTATAGCCCTTGTGGCTTAGCGCTTCTTTTTTATTATAATAATAATAATCTCCCGCTTGACTTGAAGCGGGAGAATTTTGGCGTATTAATACGTCTGAAACACTGGCTCGTAAGACATATATTTGACTGAAACAGTCAAAGGGTTAAGGAAATTTTAAAATACAGTACTGTGTTACACTCCAAGTATTGTAACCACTATTTCCTTCTGGTTAGAGTGTAACAACTTTGGTCAGAGAGGTTAGGGTAATAATAGTGATCCTCCGGAATGACTAATTTTAATTAAGTATATTTATGATACAACAAAAAGCCAGAAATAATAATATACGAATTATCGTATACAAGTTAAGAATGCATGTTTGTTCTATATTGTCCAAAATATATAAGGCTTTCATAACACATGATTAGGAGGAGATCCTAGATATAACATATATATACAGAGATTACTTTAATGTATAACGTCTTATTTCCCAATTGGAAGCAGTCAGAATAAAACAGAATATGTCCAGGCCGGATAATAAACCTTGGCCAGTTACCAGAGACGAGCAGGAGTGTTCTCGTTCTCTGCTACTTCTTCACTCTCGTCCCTCAACCTTGAGCATACAGGTCAGGTGGGTCACGTGACGTGACTCACCAACACTCAGAGTAGTTGAACATAAAGGGGGGGGAAAGGGGGGGGTATAACCATCGAACATCACGGCTAACCATACACCGGCACACCGGGCGGCAGGCATATTACTATGCCTCCAGTTAAACTTATCATGGCCATGTTACATAAATTATAATACGTAATTGTTAATAAGAATTAGCCTTAATAATACAAGGACGTTCATTTCCAATTTAGCTATTAAAGGAAATAACCGCAATGTAATATTAAAGAAAGGTTAACCATAGGAGCATGACAACTGTAGCAATTATTTTAGTATTTAAAGTAAAAATGATTTGGTTTTCTTAATAAATATCATCTTTCTTTGCCTGTACATCTAAGAGTTATATTTTGCATACCTAGTGAATCAAAAAATATTAAATTTAAACCCGAAATGTGATTATTCATTAAAGGCTTATATAACGTGACTTAGGTTTTTGGGCATTGTATGTACATACTAATGATAAGAATTATTGCTCTTCAACAGTGTTCACCTGGTGGAGGATTTGGCCCAGTGTCAGATGAGGGCTATGGAGTTTCCTACATGCTTCCCACAGAGTATAACATTTTCTTTCATGTATCTTCCAAAAAATCATGCCCTACAACTGATTCTAGAAAATTTTCTGACATACTGTTCAAGAGCATGGATGATATGCGTCTCTTATTTGACACTCCACAACTAGAATAAGTGTAGATTATATATGGTAACTTGAGACAAATGTGATAGATATTTGTATTGTTTCTTGATTGACATGAAAGGGGGTGCGATCAAGCCTTTAGTTGTTGAAAGATTAAAAAAAAAAAAGTTAGTTATTTTCTTCATCAGTCATTTATGCTTAGGTTCAGTAAAAAGAACTAAAATAAATTATAACTTAATTTTCAGTTCATTCACTAGATATGCAAAATTCTGAGTTTACATTTATGTAAAACACCCCTTCATGAAGATTTTGATTACTTTGACATTAATGCATTTAATTGTAAAACTGAAAAAATTCAATCTTCATTTCAAAACTTGGCAACATGCACAGTAAACCCTTATGTGAGGGATATGTTCCTAAAAATTAGCACTTTATGGAAATTAGTGATGTGAAGAGAACAGCATGAGGAAAAAATAGGGTTATGTTCTATACCCTCCAAATTTGCCAAACAAACTTTCTTTTAATACAGTATTCTACTAGGTAAAAATTACTCTAATTTATCTTACTTTACATTCTATTTGTCAATGCTTGTTGACAGGAGGTGTGAAGGTTTGTAGCCCTACTGGGCTGTGGTGGATGGCTGTGGTGGATGGCTGTGGTGGATGGCTGTGGTTCTTATGTTGATGTACAGAGTTGTCAGTAGTTGATAGCAGTGTTGGGGTGCTCATGTATTCTGTAAAGCACCTCTGGTTTGTTTTACCTAGCAGTATGTACTTTGTTGAGGTGATAAGTCAAAGAATGAGATATTTGGGTGGCATTTGGGAATTCTTATCATGGAAACGTTTCGCCAGCCAGTGGCTTCTTCAGTCCAATACAAAAAGAAGAGTGGTGGAAGAATAGTTTGAGGTACTCAGTCCCTCAGCCTGGAGATAGTGTGTTTAATTTCCACTATGTTCTGTATATATAGTGCACAGAGGTAAGTGTGGTTGTGTGGTATGTTCGGTAAACAGGTTTTTGAATAGCAGGGATGTGTGTTTTCTGGTGCTTGAAGGATGCTTACTCTCAGTTGATTTCTGTTGGGTAACAATTGGTTTTGTGCAATTTGCTGACCTGATGATCTGTTGGAATGTGAGCAGGGTAATATTTAGTGAAGGGATTCAGGGAAACCGGTTATTTTCATATAGTCGGACTTGAGTCCTGGAAATGGGAAGTACAATGCCTGCACTTTAAAGGAGGGGTTTGGGATATTGGCAGTTTGGAGGGATACGTTGTGTATCTTTATACGTATATGCTTCTAAACTGTTGTATTCTGAGCACCTCTGCAAAAACAGTGATAATGTGTGAGTGTGATGAAAGTGTTGAATGATGATGAAAGCATTTTCTTTTTGGGGATTTTTTCTTTTTTGGGTCACCCTGCCTTGGTGGGAGATGGCTGACTTGTTGAAGAAAAAAAAAAATATCCCTAAGCACAAATACCGTAAGTGAAGTAAGGTTAGATTAGAGAGCAATACAGAGTGAATAATATTGATTGGCGAACAAAGTAATGCATTTTTGATAGAATGCCCACAGTTATGGAAATTTTCTTAGATATGTGTTTGATGGAAGTGTTGAAGTTTCAGGTTGCAGTCAAGGTGTATCCCTTTCAATGTGAGAAATATTTATCTTTATGATGAAATAGGTATTTTTAGTTTTATTCTCAAACATGCAGATCTTATGTTACTCTATTCATACTTCCCTGTTAAGGGTAGGGTTATCCAGATAGCATATGCATAATTGTACAGGGATTATGATCTCGAATTTTCAGGTGGAATTTAATTGTATTTATGGCTATACTTAGTAGCACTGTGTGAAGTAAGAAAATTATAGTAAAAATCAATCTACAGCAGACAAAGCATCAATGAAAGCTGTTCGCACCCCTTAAATTGTATCTATATTTTAAAATTTTTTTAATTTAGACTTTTATATTGACTTGCATAGTTTTTTAATTTTATACACAATTTTAAAATATTCACCAGGATTTTTAATTATCCTCTTGCATAGTTATTAGTAATTCTTAATTACTGGTATATCATATGACAAATTATTATGAAATGTGATACAGTATTTAGTATAATGTATTGAAGACTAAAGTCTCTGCTAATTAGTGTTATTTCAACTAACTCGTAGTGTTAATGATTACGGTAAACAGTACCATACTTGGGTATTAAGTTCTGTACCATATTCATAATATAAACTACTCCCTAATTATAAAAAGCATTGTGGAATATATTGTATGGATAAAATTTAATATCAAAGATTCATTCACAGATGGGTTCTCTCCCCCCCCCCCCTCCCCATCAAGGTGTGTATCCCCATCAGCCCTCTGACACTTTTTTTTTTCTATAATTTCCACATGCAAGACTGAGTATTAGCACATGATTTTATGGGTGCAAACTAATTATATATTACAGTGCATAAAAGATAGTTACATTATCTAGATTACAAACAATTAATAGTAATCACATGTGTGAATTATACAGAATTTCTTTAAACTGTAATTAAAAAGTAATTGCCTAACAAAGTGATTGGTTGCTAAAGCATGTATGAAAAATATGCAGTATACTGTAAAATGAAACACAATTAGGCTCACCATGTGTTGATTTTGTTTACCACTTAACACTGCTTAAACTGCCAGTGTTATGGTATATCAATGTGAGCTTCATCTAACCACAGTACATCACTTACCTGTTTTAAGAAGTTAGGAAAATCAGGGGACTTTATTTTTTTCTTGGGCAGGGCAAGTCGACAGTTCTAGAAAGTTGTCACTCCAAATGCATGTTCCCAAGAGAGATTTCTTCAAGTCCGCCTAGCTTCACTTGTCACAGTAGTCTATGGAATTTTATTACACTACTGGAGTCGTTCCAAGGATGGTGGATGAGAAATCATCAGGAACTATCCCATGGAATTGCCAGTGCATGACATATGATAGGAATACGTATATCCTTTCCCAGTAGCTAGTGTATTTTCAACTTGACGCCTGTAGCATCAGACCCCTCCAATATGATGCTAAGATGTCATTGCATTATATAAATAATTTTTCTTAAAGGATTCTGGATATCATGGATTGATGCATAAGGAGATTTGTTATTTTACACGCCAATAATTTTTAAAATGGGGGGGGGGGGGATTCGAAATGTTGTACCAAAATCTAAGAACTTGAATTCAGTATCAATCTAGAGAACCAGTTGGCTTTCCCAGCTAGATTTAATGGGTACATTATTATTCGGTAATGTAGGCAACTGCTTGCATGCTAAAAGATGCATAGGCATATTCAAGATTCATTACATGTACTGTATAGAATGTTTTGATAATTTGTGTAATGAGTTCTGGTCTGGAAATTTGAGTATTCACAAATATTTTCAAATGATGGGTGTGGTAACAAAATATTTTAGAATGTTTGGCACAATAAGTGTATTTATTTTAACCAACCCACCATGTACTAGGCTTTTCTGGATTACTATTAATAGTATGAGAAGTAGTTAAAGGAATTCCATTTTTAATGGTGTCACTTTTTGTATGTTTCAGGGAAGTTTTACCACCATCTCTTCTATACCAAATATTGTATAACACATAATTATATATTCAATTTTTTGGCTAATCAAAATGTTGGTTCAGGTATTAAATATAAAAAAAATAAATCTGCTAGAAATAAAATAGCAGTAATGAAAAGGTAAATGTGATATTTTTATATAATATTGTTGTATGTACTTAAAATATGAACTGATGTACTGTATATATATTCATGTATATATTACTGTTTTATAGTGTTGACTTTTACTGGGTATGGTAATAGTAACTAAGAGAAACTAGTTTTTATGAATCCTTCATGTAAAATTGTAGACCAAATGATACATTTACAGTACACAGGTATACCCATTCACATATGCTTATGCATAAATAAGTACATACTATACATATATGAATATACAGGTGTTGTATGACCCCTATGGGTTTAGTGCTCCTTCATGGATATAATCTCTTTAGAGACATACGAGGCAGGTGACCAAACATGAAAGTTTTGTTTTTTGGAAGTTGAGAAATGTTAGTCCAATTACTCTTTGACAACTACTATCCCATTTCTGACTGATATGCCTAGTGTCCAGTCAGCCTGACTAGTTTGTCTAGAATTTTTTTTTTTTAACAAGTTGGCCGTCTCCCACCGAGGCAGGGTGACCCAAAAAGAAAGAAAAAATCCCCAAAAAGAAAATACTTTCATCATCATTCAACAATTTCACCTCACTCATACATAATCACTGCTTTTGCAGAGGAGCCCTGATACAAACAGTTTAGAAGCGTATATGAAGATATAACATATCCCTCCAAACTGCTAGTATCCCAAACCCCTCCTTAAACGTGCAGGCATTGTACTTCCCATTTCCAGGATTCAAGTCCAGCTGTATAAAAATAACCGGTTTTGTTTATCTAGTTTATTAATATTTTAGTTTTGTAGTACCAACAGCTCATGCGGTCCCAAATACCATTCGTCTCATTCACTCTTATCTAACGTGCTCACACATGCTTGCTGGAAAGTCCAAGCCCCTCGCCCACAAAATCTCCTTTACCCCCTCCCTCCGACCTTTTTGAGGACGACCCCTACCCCGCCTTCCTTTCCCCACAGATTTATGCGCTCTCCATGTCATTCTACTTTGATCCATTCTCTCTAAATGACCAAACCACCTCAAAACCCCTCTTCAGCCCTCTGACACACTTTTATTAATGCCACTCCTTCTCCTAATTTCCACACTCCGAATTTTCTGCATAATCTTTACACCACACATTGCCCTTAGACAGGATATCTCCACTGCCTCCAACCATCGCCTCGCTGCAGCATTTACAATCCAAGCTTCACATCCATATGAGTGTGTTGGTACCATTATACTTTCATATATTCCCTTCTTTGCCTCCATAGATAACGTTTTTTGTCTCCACATATACCTCAATGCACCACTAGCTTTTTTTCCTTCATCAATTCCATGATTAACCTCATCCTTCATAAAGCCATCAGTTGACACGTCATCTCCCAAATATCTGAAAACATTCACTTCTTCCATACTCCTCCAATTTGATATCCAATTTTTCTTTGTAATTCATTTGATACCCTCATCACCTTACTCTTTTCTATGTTTACTTTCAACTTTCTACCTTTGCACACACTCCCAAACTTGTCCACTAACCTTTGCAACTTTTCTTTAGAATCTCCCAAAAGTACAGTATCATCAGCAAAAAGTAACTCGACTCCCATTTTGTATTTGATTCCCCATAATTTAATCCCACCCCTCTCCCCAATACCCCCTCTTCAAGGGGGGCTCCTTGGCGTGGTGAAGAGGCTCTTGGTCTGAGGAATTAGCCCTGTCGGTCTTCTTCCTCAGACCGAACCTAATTACCCCCCATTCTCCCCTCCCTATCCCATCCTCCCATCCTCCCTTTTTCCATTTCCTCCTCCTTTCCCCACCCCCCCC